CTGCCGGCACAAACGCCTCTGCCCTGCTCTGTCTCTCGCAGTGTGGCGCCATGTGGACAAGGGCACCCCGGAAGGAGCCATCGATGCCATGCTGATCCACGGGCAGGGTAAGGCTGTGACAGATGAGTAGTGCCGTGATTGACGCTCACAATTAGCAGAGAAATGTCATGTATACATGCTAAGAAAAGTTTTATAGATTTATAGTTTTGCCTCTTCATGTGGTTATCAAGGGAGAGCTGGGTCTGGGACATTTTGGGGGGGGTTGTCACTATGGAGCACCTGAACTCAGTCAGGATTTGAGGAAGAGATCTTCACCGCTGGACAGCGAGGAAGGGGTCGATGGACAGAACTTTGGGAGGGGTAAAAGGGTTAAAAAGCCAAACCCCCATTGTGTGGGTGGGCACACTGTGGGGAAAATCCTCTGCTCCCAGTGCTGTAACCTTTTCCCTATTCAACCTTCTGTTGTATTTTTGATGAGGTTTAAAGAACTTTTCTCGGTTTTTGCAAAGTGAGTGTCTGTTTCTCACAGTGCCAGGGCTGGGGGGGCTCCTGGGGTGTGGAGCCAACCTTGGAGCACAGGCTGGGCGTGCAGAGCCCGTCCCTTTGCTGGTCCCTGCTGGGTGCCAGCCCCTGTTTGTCCCTCCCCTCCTCCCCAGATGCCATCACCGTGTCCAACGCTGGGCGGATTCTGCGCTCCTGGGAGACCAACATCGGGGGCTTGAACTGGGAAACCTCCCTGGACACGGGCAGGTGGGAGCTCCTGTCTGCAGGGTTTGCTCTCCTTGGAGGGCTGCTCTGCGAAGGAAAAAATGGGTCATGGACTCAATCTGGGCTTGCATTGTAGAGAAAGATTAGTCAGATGTAAAGGTTCCAGAACAAATTTTAGGTGAATTCTTTGTGAATGGCTGAACCTTGCAGAGAATCACTGAGGTGGGAAAAGCCCTCCCAGATCAAGTCCAAGCTGTGACAATCTCCACCTTGTCCCCAGCCCAGAGCACTCAGTGCCACGTCTAGGACACCTCCAGGGATGGGCACTCCAAGCCTCCCTGGGCAGTGCCAAGGCCTGAGCCCCCTTTCCATGCAGAAATTCCTCCTGGTGTCCACCCTGAGCTGCCCTGGCCCAGCCTGAGGCCGTTCCCTCTCTCCTGTCCCTGTTCCCTGAGCACAGCCTGACCCCTGGCTGTCCTCTCCTGTCAGGAGCTGTGCAGAGCCACAAGGGCCCCCTGAGCCTCCTTTGCTCCAGGCTGAGCCCCTGCCCAGCTCCCTCAGCCCCTCCTGGGGCTCCAGCCCCTTCTCATGGGTAAAATAGGAAAAGAATTCCCTAACTGCTGGTGCCTGTGCTCAGTTTCCAGGGGGCTGCCCTGGTGGGGCTCCCTGAGGCAGTGAAGTACGTGGCAGTGCTGAAGAAGGCAGCCCTGTCCCTGCACTACCTGTCCAACGGGCACCAGAAGTGGGTGGAACACCTGCCTGAAAGGTGAGAACAGCTCCAAGGAGAGCTGTGAGCCCCTGGCACGGGGCTGCACCTGCCTTGTGCTGCTGCAGTGAGTGGGAGGGGGATGCTTCATGGCTGCTCCTGTGTTGCAGTGAGAGCACTCAGTATGAGCTGCTGTACTCCCGTGGCACTGGAGTGATCCACGTGGTTGGCATCGTCCCCCGGAGCCACCTGAGCCTGCTGACCTTCAGTGTGGAGGATGGGGAAATCACCAGACAGGTAGGGGAGCCAGAATGCTGCATGTAGGGGGATAGAGTATAAGTAAATAAAGGTAGTATAGAAGGTAATCTTACCCCCTAAAGAGTTGCTGCTGGGTTAATTATTGAGGATTAGGAGCAGGCCTGATGTTAACAGGCCACAGCTGTAGCCAATAAAAAGAGTGTTGTAAAAGAGTGTATTGGTTGGTTGAGGGGACTGGAATCAGTTTACTGTAGGGACAAGGAAGAGTCAGTGCCTAGAGGAGCTGCCTACAAGAAACATCAGGGAGGTGCAAAACTCTGGCAATGTGGAAGCCTTGCAATGCAGTGACAATAGAACTCCTGCACTATAATGACAACAGCTGGATTTGATGTGAACAAATGCACTTCCAACCCTGTGGTGGGCAGAGAACTCAATTGTTGTGCCACAGAGACCCCTCCCTTCCCTGAGGCATTGCCTCCACACCAGGGATTCCATGGCTGACTGCCCTGGAAGCCAAACTGAGCCAGGCTGGCAGCTGTTAGCCAAGATTACCCACAACCCTCAGGCTGACAGGTAGCTTTTCTCAGCTGTGGCTAAAAATAACTGACTTGCCTTGCCTGTGTGTGCCCGTGGGTGCTGTGCAGGCTGTGTGCTGTGCAGGCTGTGTGCCCTGAGCTGGCTGTGTCTCTGCAGGTGAGGGTGGCAGCCCCGTGGCTGGGGGCTCTGCAGGGCCCCTGTGCCGTGGTGGGGGAGGCTGTGCTGGTGTGTGTGGACACAGCCACACGTTCCCTGCACGTCTGTGCCCTGGACACGGAGCAGGACATGAGGAGCATCCCCCTGCAGGTGAGCACTGCTGGCATTCCTGACCCAGCTGGAGCTGGTTCCCTGTGGTGACAGCCTGGTCACAGAGACACAAAGCTAGATAAATAAATAAGTTTTCCTGGAATCAGTCTGGGAAATGTGAGGGAGCTGGAGAGAGAGAATTCTAAACAATCTGCACCTGGTGTTTGTAATAAGCTGTATTTCCCATAGGTTTGTTCACCAAAGGGTGGCTTCTTCCCATTAGCTAATGGGATGGTTTTTTGATTAAAGGACCAATCAGGTCCACCTGTATGAATTAGGATATAAAAAGCACTGGGTTTCTTAATAAAGTGAATTAGCCTTCTGGGTTTCTTAATAAAGTGAATTACCCTTTTGTGAATGTCTTGAGAGTCTCTGTCACTCATTACCTGGTCCTGACCCGTTATGGTGGCATCTCCCCAGTCTGTTGGTGAACTGGGGGGTGATTGGAGGTGGGGGATCATGCTCTGTAAATTGAGGGAGGGTGGGAAAGCTTTTTGTCTGTTCTTCCTTCTGGATCAATGTCTTCTGAGCTTTGCTCCAATGGAGCCTCAGCCTTCCCTGCTCCTGCTCTGCCCCCTGACTGAGGGGATCTCTGCCTGCTGCTGAGGGGAGGGAGCTGTTGGTCCCACTGCAGGATGGCTCCCCAGCAATGTGCTTGTCTCCCCTGCAGTCCCTGGAGCTGGAGTTTGCTGATGACTTCCAGGCCAGGATCTTGGCCACTCAGCCCAGTGTGAGCGGCGCCTCACGGACTCAGTTCTTCCTGCAGCTGTCCCCAAGCCACTTCTCCCTGCTGCAGTACAAGCAGGGGCTGCTCAGCCACCTCCGGGACTTCCAGCAGGTGAGAGATGGACCAGGGCCAGGGGCAGCTGGTCTGCAAGTCTCAGGAACTCTGGGCACCATGGCTCAAAAACCTTTAGCAGGTTTTTTCTCCCATCTTTAGGAGAAGTAGGATTTTTCCTGTATATACAGTTTTAAATTTGGCTGTGACAGTTCACCTGCTTTTAATTTCACTATGATTTTATTTACTTCACAAGTACTTTTTCATGAGGTTTAGGGGTTTCTTGAGGGTGTTTTTTAATGATTTCTTTCATTTTTTTCCTTTTCCAGGCAGCTCTAGTGAGTTTTGCAACGACTGGGGAGAAGACAGTGGCTGCTGTGCTGACATGTAGGAATGAACTGGTGAGCACAATTCCTGTCCTCTGGGAGCAGCCCAGCTCTGGGGCTGGGCTCCACTGGGGTTTCACAGGCCCAGGGATGGGGAGCCCCTTGAGGAAGAGGAGGATTTGATAAGTTTCAGTGATAACACAAGCAGGGCTTGATTATGTCCAGCTGAGGCTGTGCCTGGCTCAGTGAATATCCTGTTTCAGCCCTGTGGAAGGTGGGGAAGTGCCAAAGAATTGGCTTTCCTGCTCCACAGAGGATTTCAGTTCTTGGGGATATCAAACATACTTTATTTTTATCAGAACAGGCCAGAGCTGTTTCCTGCCCGATATCACAGGCAAGCTGAGATTTGTCAGACAGTTGGAAACCTAATTTTTTTATGCTTTACTGGTGTCTGAAGCTGTGTTACATTTCCTCTCATCCTCATTTCCTCTCATCCTCATTCCAGAAACCTGGACTCTCTGATGGCCTCCAAGCTGGCAGCACTCTGGAGGATGCCCGCAGGCAGGTATGGGGTGCTCTTGTTCCCAACTTCTTGTCACTCCATTTTATTCCTTCACCTGCAGGAGCAGAATGACAGAGCTCTTACACCAGCTGCACAGCCTAAAAGCAGCCTAAAAATATCCTGAAGCCCCAGTTTTTGGTGGGGATGGAATCCTGCTGCAGGATTTGGTGTGGTGTGGGTGTAACCCCTGTTTTCTGCCCATTGCTACAGGATTCCTTAACCTGCTCCAATCAAACCTACAACATAAACCTCTACCTGGTTGAGACTGGGCAAAGATTGTTGGACACCACAATCACCTTCAGCCTGGAGCAAGGAGGGGCCAAGCCACAGCAGGTGAGCAGGGAGGGGTTATTGCAGTGCCCCCCCTTCCCTGCTTTGGCAGCCAAGGGGAAAAGCATTCCAGGGATCTTGGAATTTTTCCAAGGCAAAAAGCATTCCAGCATCTCTTTGCTCTGGTTTCACCTGATTTCTGCTGTCTTCGAGGAGATGATGTGATCATTAATCTTGCTGTTTTCCTTGCCTTTTTTGTTTTGTTTCTTTCCCAGCTGTACATCCAAGTTTTCCTGAAGAAGGATGACTCCGTGGGCTATCGAGCCTTGGTGCAGACTGAGGACCACATGCTCATGTTCCTCCAGCAGCCAGGTGACTCCCAAAAACAGCTTCCCCTCTTTGTTAACAGTCACCAGGAGAAAATTCTGTGTTCTCAAGGATTGTATTTCATCATTACTTTCCTTGGAAGCTGAAAAAAATCATTTAACTCTCCTGAGTCCCACAAAAGACACAGGAGACTCTTTCACCCTCACCTGGACAGACAATTCTGCACTGCTTTGTGTGGGCAGAGCCTTTGGATTTCAGGGGTTTCTGCAAATTTCAAAACTCTTTTTGTAGGATGAGAGTGTAAGTTCTGTTGTGGATCTTCCTCAGAGATTTTCAGAAATCTCATGGCAAAAATGTTAATTTGCAGAAGGGATTGAAAGTCTCATCTCAGTGACAGGAATTTTGTGGGGCTCTAAGGGAATCCAGGGGTTCACACTGTGAATCTCTTGTTCTAAATAGACTCAGTGACTGAACCCTTTTAAAGCACCAGATTGCTTTCACTGATCCTGAGGTTTTCTTCCTACAGGTGGCTCCTGTTGCATGAAGTATTTATCTTTTATGAAATAATTAAGTTAATTATAGTAGATATTAATACACTTTTTGCATTTTATTTCGAGGTGATTGCATTTCAGGGTTGCACTGAAAGATACTCTAATACTGAGTGAGTCAATTCCCAAATATTGAGTTGATTTTTCCAATATTCTGCTCTTATTTCTTGGCAGGAAAAGTTGTGTGGAGTAGAGAGGAGTCACTGGCAGAGGTGGTGAGCTTGGAGATGGTGGATCTGCCTCTGACAGGAGCACAGGCTGAGCTGGAGGGAGAATTTGGAAAAAAAGCAGGTGAGTTTAACAGAATTACCTCTGTGAGTTTGCTTTCCTTCCTAAATAAATGTGTTTATTGTTTTTTGTTTACTCTGAGCTGAGAGATTAATTTAAATCTCTACTGATGCCAATTAAAATGAGCAGAAATAAACCCTTTTCTGTGTAAACTTTGGAAATCCAACCCAGATAACATGAATATATTACATTGTTACATTTAAAAAAAATCAGCAGCAGTAGGAGGGATTTTTGGTCATGTCTCCTGACTGTTTTTTGTGGCTCTTTCTGGAAGATTCGTTTCCAATAGGTTTTTTTTTTGCTTTCTTTTGTCTTTCCTTGCTATCCTGGATGCAGCCATCCAAGGTAACCCCACCCTGCATGGAGTGTGCTCTGCTCCTGCCCAAAGCTTCTGGTGCCACTGCTCCCCTCTGCTTGCTCTCCTCAGGGGCTGAAACAGAGTTGAAGTCTGGTGTTTTGGTTAAGACTTTGAATACAAACCCTGACTGGGCAGAATTAAGGATTTTTAATTGCTCAGAGGGATTTCTGTAGAGGTGGGGGAGCTGTAGGTGGGCACAGTGAGAAGGAACACAAAATCCTCTGCATGAAGGTTTGCTTTCAGTTGATCAGGGCATATTTTGGAATGAGTGTGGAGTGGGAAAGGTTGGGAAATGCCAGAATCTGTGACAGAAATGGCAACTGTAACTCAGTGCAGAGGGGGAGGCAAGGAGCCAGCCCAGGTCTGTGCATGGCAGCGTTTGACAGCACAGTTTCAGCTCTGGGGTGGGGTGGGTGTGATTTCCCTCCTGCTCTCACTGTGCTGCCCCTTGCAGATGGCTTGCTGGGAATGTTCCTGAAAAGACTCTCATCCCAGCTCATCCTGCTGCAAGCCTGGACTGCCCATCTCTGGAAGATGTTCTACGATGCCAGGAAGCCCCGGAGCCAGATTAAAAACGAGATTAACATTGACAATTTGGCCAGAGACGAGTTCAACCTCCAGAAGATGATGGTGATGGTCACTGCCTCGGGCAAGGTGAGGAGGCCAGGGCAGGAATCTGTTTCCAGGCTGGAGCAAAGCTCTGAGTTGGGCAGAAATGATGGGAAGATGCACAGGATGTTTGTGGTGGCTTTAAAGGGAGACCAAGGCTCAGCTTTCTTTGGGATATGACAGAGAAGGATGTCATGCTTGAATGGGAGAGATGTTTCCTAAACTTTGGCTTTCCTATGTTTCCCATGTGTTTTTCCTCAGCTTTTTGGCATTGAGAGCAGTTCTGGCACCATCCTGTGGAAGCAGTACCTGAGGAATGTGAGACCAGGCTCCTCCTTCAAGCTGATGGTGCAGAGAACAACAGCCCATTTTCCCCACCCTCCACAGTGCACTCTGCTTGTCAAGGACAAGGTGAGGCCCTTTGCTGCTCCTCCATGGGCATGGACAGGGCAATAAAACCATCTTCTTGGGCATCACCTGCTTGTCACTGATGTGGGGATGGCAGGGGAGAAAGATCTGGAGGGAAGCAGACACAGAAGCCTTGGTATGATCGTGGCTGTTGTGGACAAATACAGGATAAATGTTTGGACAAATGTGTGTTTCCAAACAGAATATTTTCAGGATGGAGTAGCTGAACACAGAGTATGAATAGTCAACAACACTAGCAAGTAACAGTTAAAAAACTGCTCTTTTTTTGGTCTTAAAAAGAGGCAAAACTTGCCCTGTTTTTCAGGAAACGAAGATGAGTTTTCTGTACGTCTTTAACCCCATCTTTGGCAAGAGAAGCCAGGTAGCTCCTCCTGTTCTGAAGCGTCCCATCCTCCAGACTTTGCTTCTGCCCATTATGGATCAAGACTATGCCAAAGTGCTGCTGCTGATTGATGATGAGTACAAGGTAAATTGCTTTGCCTGGAGGCAGTTTTCTTTGCATTCAGGTTAATTATTCCTTTCCCTTTTGGAACATGATGGTAAAAAATGCCATTGAGCCACATTTCACACAAAACTATGAGGTTATTCTGGTAAGACAGACCTTATCTTGATAAACACGTTAGAAATCATCTTTCTGGTTCATTCTGGGGTGGAGGTTTTGTCTGTATCAGTTGTTTTTAACTTATTTTTTCTTTTCCAGGTTACCCCTTTCCCAGCCACTAAAAACGTCCTTCGCCAGCTGGAAGAAATAGCCCATTCCATCTATTTTTACTTAGTTGATGCTGAGCAAGGAAAACTCTCTGGATTCAGGCTGAAAAAGGTATGAAGGCCCATTGCACTCACTTCCCTGAATGCCCTGTGGATAATGGCAGATCTCAGTTCCCTTCGTGGAGCTTTGCTCAGCTGAACCTTCAGCCTCAAAACACACCAAAGGAATTGGGAAATCCCAAAGCAAGGGGAAATCTGCATCCTGCTGGTGGAGATGGTGTCCTTGGGAGGTGAGATCCAAGCTCCCACGTGCTTTTCCCCTGCAGGACCTGAGCACAGAGGAGAGCTGGGAGGTGGCCATCCCCACGGAGGTGCAGAGGATTGTGGCTGTCAAGGGGAAGAGGTCCAACGAGCACGTGCACTCCCAGGGCCGCGTGATGGGCGACCGCAGCGTCCTCTACAAGGTGCTGCTGGCTTTGTGTTGGGGGTTTATCCCATGGGAGGATCCCAGTACCATTCCCTACATTGGGATGAGCTGCCCTGTGGTAAATGAGCCTTGCTTGGTCGTATCCTATGCAAGCTGTTCCAGCTCCAGAGCTCAGTCCCCAAGGG